GGTTAGACAATTGAAATGGCACATAAATGGAAAGTTTGACCCCATCAACGTCATTCTGTTTGCCACAACTACAGAGATAACCAATCTAGCTCCAAGAGCCTGCAGGTTTCTATTTCAAACCCAATACTAGCTGATTGAAGTTACCTCTTGCAAACATTTGAAAATGCGTTTAAAAAATATTCATCTCCCATGAAAATGACGGTTTGCCACCATCTTATTCATAACACACACAATGATTCAACCTTGCTTCCAGCCAGTCTTAAACATGATGGCATTTGTGTTCAGTGTCTGGCATGTCTTTCCTGGCAAACACCTCACTGTGCACAGGAAGTCATATCACAATGATGATTTGTTTTGAATCAATAGGAACAGAACTGAATAATTTGCATGTGTATGAGCAGAAAGTTAATCATGGGCAGATCGAAGAAGAAAAGACTTCACAGTGCTGATCACGGTGTTTGCTTGACAAGTGAGAGGTTCCACTGCAAATAACCAATTAGCACCAAAGACTGAAACAAAATCAAACAATAAAGACAGAGGGTTAACTCTTTAAAAAGACAGCTGCTGAGGTGTCTGGAATGAAACCGTGGTATGATTTGTACAGCAGGAGCTGCTCATAGCAGTTGGCTCTGACCTTTGTGTGACCTTTAGCCATCATGTGATCGGAGACTTTAAGTTTCTATGTGACCGGGTCTGCTCACGTGGTCAAACAAATGCTTCCTGCACGCTAACCAGCGTAGCAGCTGTGCAGGGTTGGATGCACGCACATCCATGGAAGCAATAGGTTCTGCCCAGGATTTGTACAACACCATGTCACTTTTACCTCATTCGCACCAACGGTGTTTCAGGGCCGGTTCGGAGCTGGAGCTTGAAAAGCACCGGGTTTTCCTGTTCACACCGCAGCGGAGCAGCCTCTTAGCCCCGGAATCCGGTTCGTTTCAAGCACCAACATTTTTTCCGGCCAGAGCAAAAGCACCGCATACGTCACGCTTACGTCGAGGCGGGGTCAGGGGCAGGGGCGGGGGCAGGATTAACTCCTGAACAACAACAAAAAGCCTGCTTTTTATCAAGTTTGTACACAACGATGGAGAAACTTAACAAGAGTTTCAGAGTTTCAGTGTTTCTGCCATAGACTGTATATATAAAGGTTTCTGCTCATGGGTGAAGCATGTGTCTGCGTGTTAGGTGGAACCTTGAGCTTCACGTGATCACCTCTCATTATAACTCATTGTAACTATAAAACTATAAATATTAAACTTTACTTCACGTGCTTCATTTGGAGAACCATTAGTTACATACCCTGGGTGAAGGTTACAGTTTATTTAAATGAAAGATACAACGTTCACTCCACACTCATGGTTCTTTAGTCCACCTTAAGAATAAGACCGACCTCGGAAGCAGGTGTTGTAAAAAAAATCTTATTGACACGAGTACACTTTTTGTATAAGAATATAGTCCCAAACCACACGAAAATGACTCCAGAAAAGCTTGCAGATAGAGCCATAAGAAATGGGAATGCAAGCGATTTCATCCGCAGCGCCTTGAGGCTTTATGAAGCCAGCACGCAACGGTTACGTCAGACGCAAACCGATGACGCATGACGCGAGCCACCAGTCGGATTCTGTGGGCGGTGTGAAAAGAGCCGGAGCTAACCGAAGAACCGTCTGAACCTGAAAGCTCTTAGCACGAGCTTTGAACCGGGAGAGTGGTGTTGGTGTGAATAAGTATGACAGGTAGTATACTGGGAGTCTGGACACCTGAAGGCCAAAAAACACAACTGGTCAACTTCTGGCTATTCTGTGAGCTTACTTTTATTAAGTTTTCTCTGATCTCACTTACAACCTCTTTTCAAATAGTCCAGTTACAAAACTGGAGTGCAAAAATAGTGCAAAAAGACAACCATGTCAAATAGCTTCATGGAACTTGCCTGCCAATACCTTAGTAATAACCTGGAAGTCCTCTGTTCACATAACGTTTATCCATATTTCATGAGGCATTATATAGAAGGGAAAGGATCATTTAAATCATCAATATTGGTCGATTCAAAGTTAAACTTGGTTGATATGCAAGAGTTTCCTTTTTGCCATGAAAGAGTCATGCCTTATTCATAGAGCAATCACTTTAAACAATCCACATTGAAACCCTAACCCAGGCGATAGGAATAAACCGCCCGCACTAACGCAGGTAAGTCTACCCTTCCTCGTGTAAATTCTGATGGCTCTTTTAGAGCTGAACAAGAGCATCAGTCCACAAATGTGCTCCTAATACCAAATTCCTCTCCCTTCTCCCACAATAATGAGCTCCTCTTCAGACTCAAGAGTTAGACACGAGGTAATAGCATTAGCACGCTGAATGGAGAAGGAGGGAAGAGGAGGGTGGGATGAAGAGAGAAAAGGAGAGGAAAGATACAGGCCCAAAGAGGGATACATCCGAGGGGTGGGGAAGAAAGGGTAGAAAAAAATCGACTGGAGACATGCATGAGAAGCTCTCCCTCTGGCAAGCAGCAGTCAAGTAATGCCACGCACCAGAACGAATGCTATTGGCTGACTATTGAGAATAAGGACAACAAGAGCGAGGAGGAGAAGAGTGTGGTGAGGAGGAGAGGATATTCAATATACCGGAGAGGAAGAGAGATGATCACTGTGTTCACTAAGTCTCTTTGGATTCAGTGGTTTTTCTGTCCCCCCATCCACTACGCCAGCCCAGGGGACATGATGGAACAACGTGGAGACTGGTTTGTGTATGCGCGCGTGTGTCTCACGTGTGTGCATTCTGCGTATTTGTGTGGGTGGCCAATGTGGGCAGCATGAAAGCATGTGCATGCTTCAGTCGTTTCAAGGCCAAGTGATTGAAATACTCCTCTCAGAAAACAGGGGAGCACTGACACGTTACAATTGCACACAGAAAACTATCTCTCGCAGAGCTAATCTAACATTATGTGTGTACCTATGTGTTGTATCGACATGACTAAGCACAGAGGGGACTAAATGCAATGTGCTGCGTAAAATAATCAAGTGAGGAGCTCGATAGTGAAGGCTCGGCTAACCCCAAGATACAATTGAGAGAGATGAATGGAATGCTGGGGTTTTTGCAGGCCT